TACTGTAGGGGCAGAGGGGAAATTTCCCCTTCCCTTTAGGGTCTTCTCGCACTGGTGGGGTAATCAAATTAACTCAGACAGACTGTAAGAAAAAACAATTTTAATTACGTGTGGAGAATCTATATGGATTTAAAGTCTAAAGTAAATAGGGTCAAAACAAGGATTTTTATCCTGAACTAAGGAATGTGATAGGAGCCTGGGGTTTCAAGGAGAAAGGGGGGACTCACATGATGACAGGAAAGATGCTCTGTAACTATTCCATGTTCCCCCTGCGCACAGATAGGCTTCTCCTATAGAATGGTTATATCTAGAGATAAAAAATCTGGGTAAAATCTGGGTAAACCCTTCCCTCGCCTCTCTTTTTTCACTCACTATTAAGGGAGCGGTGAAGATTTCACTTGAGCCTGCAAAGCCTTTATTGATTGATCTCAGCTCAAAATAATCCACCTATAAACTCACATATCTTCGGGATGTCTGTCCTTCAATATTTACAGATTTGGGAATGTGAGCATTAGCGTGTTTGAGTAGTAGAATCTCCCTCAACTGACCTTTACTTAACCAGTCCAGCAAATGCACTGACTGGTTCAGTTCCTCAATCTGCACTGCCAAGAATGACCCCAATCCCATGAAAGCTGGTGAATGGAAGCTTCTCTTCTAAGCAGGCTCTGCATACACAGTTTGCTCCCAGCAAAATTTTGTGCTTACCAAAAGCTGGTCATGTTTACTCCCAAACTTGAACATGCTTGTCACTGCAATAATGCAGTTTAATAAAGGTAACACATAAACAATGAAATATATTTTAAAATACTGCTTCCAAAAAATTTCATTAGATTGCTTTGAAAAGACAAATCATTCACACACAAAAATGTTGAATTAAATGTAGGAGATAAAACAGTAAAAGATTAAGGAATGGAAATAACAAAAGCCCTGAGTTTTCCTCTTTGTAGTGTTTCTTGTGTGTCTTTAAATTCTTATTCCATTTTAAAGAGAGCAAAAGGGGAAATATTCTTTTTTTTAATTAATTAATTTATTTCTTTATACATGCACTGGGTACAGTCAGAAGCACGGGAGGGTGAGAGAATTCACCAGAGCCAGAGCGGGGAGCAGAGCAGGCAGAAGGACCGAAGCACACTGCTGAGGGGAGCAGCGGGCGGCAGGAGAGGTCTGCGCGCCATGTGGGACCCTCCTCTGGTGGCCGGGGAGCAGCCGGGGATCCAACCTGCGCTGCAGAGGCTGCGGGCAGCTTCGCAACCCAGCGCTCAACCGCTGCGCCACCAGGGAGGCCCAGTGGGGGAAATATTCTTAGAGAATGTATCACAAAAGGAGATTTGGGGGGGAAGGTAGTAGGGTCCTCAAAGGACTAAAATCACACATTAAAACAAACAAAAGACTTGAATCTGTTCAATGAATGTGTATTCCTGATTTAAATTTAAATAAAATGTTAATGCTATATGCTATCCCTGTGGTGGGAGGAGGGATATTTTTCCACTTTATGGAGATATAATTAACATAAAGTCTACATGTATTTAAAGTAAGCAGGAAGTTTTGACAAATGTATATACATCTATAAAACCATCAAGATAATGAATACATCAGTGACCCCAAGTTTCCTCCTGCCCCTTTGTAATCATTTTCTTTCCCTTCCCCATTAACATCTCTCCATCCATCCCTAGTCAACCACTCATCTGTCACTGTAGATCCATTTGCATTTTCTAGACTTTTACATAAATGGAATCATATGGTATTTACTCTTTTTCCCCCTCTAGCTTTTTTCACTTCGGTGTAATTATTTTGAGATTCATTCATGTTGTTGCATGTATCAAAAGTTCCATTTATTGCTAAGTAGTATTTTATCATACAAACATTCTACATTTTGAAAAAATGAAACAAAACAGTAAATCTGTAAATTAGAGACATTCATCAGGGGAGGGAGTGGAAAAGTGATCAAAACGAGAGGAAAAAGCACAAGAGTCTATGGTTATGGTTCACAGGTCTCTTGGTGTTGGGAATTTTATGGGGACAACACTTGAGAGGAGAAATCAAACATTGTACAGAAATGAACAACGTTGTAAAACTACATAAATTAAAAAATAAAAAAACAATTATTTTGTACCAAATAATAAAAATAAATATTCTACATTTTGTTCTTCCATTCTCCTGTTCACACTTGGGTTATTTTGTTTTGGGTTATTAACAGAGCTGCTATAAGCATTCATGAACAAGTCTTGTATGGAGATGGCTTCATTTCCTTTGGGTAAATACATAGAAGTGGAATGGCTGGACATAGGATAGATACATGTTTAACTTTTTGAGAAAGTGCCAAATTATGTTCCATGAGTAGTGTATGAGTTTGTTACCTCACTTAATTGCCAGCAATTACTATTCTGTCTTTTTAATGTCATTTCTTTGAGTATGGAGTGGTATTTCATTGTAATTTTGATTCCTGAAAGAGTAATAATGTTGACTGTTTTATCATCTGTTCATTTGCCGTGTGTTTCCTTTGCAAAGTGTCTGTTCAAATATGTTGTCCAAGTGGGTCATTTGTTTTCTTATTAGGTTTTGGGAGTTCTTTATATAGTCTGGATTCAAGTCCTTTTCTTTGGTTGGTCTTTTTATTCTCTCAAAATGTTTTTAGAGAAGTTCTTAATGTTCATAAAATCTAATTTGTTCATTTTTAGATTTTACATTTAAATCTATGATCCACTTTGGGTTTTTTTTTAACATAGTATTGAATCCAGGTTTGGTTTTTGCTCTTTTGCATATGAATACAATTTGTTCCAGCTCCATTTGTTACATTATCCTTTCTTCATTGAATTCTCTTTACACCTTCATAAAAAAATCAAATAGAAATTGTACATGCATAAATTATATGTAAGTGTGGGTCTATTTCTGGATTCCATCCTTTCCTGGATTTCTTTGCCTATCCCTATGCCAATTATCTTTATGCCAATGCAGGTACAAAATTTTTGAATAACTTTTTTTGACTTATTGACCAGCTTATGTTTGGAATTGTCGAAGGGTTTTTACTGTATAAGACTTGATGCAACAAGAAAGGACAAGATAGAAAGGAGAGATGGGCAGGCACAGAAACAATAAGGCAGAGATGTAACACAACAGGTGAAAGGAAAAAGATTAGAAAAAGTGGATACTTTAAAAAAATGGCATTTTCTCAACCCTGCTATCTTCAAAGACGACCCTCCACCTATTAATCCCATCCTGTTTTGAAAGGTTATGTGTATAAAGTAAACAGCATTTATTAGGCAATAATTCATTTGTGTTCTCATGTATAATTCATCAAAGGCATATGCCACTGCCAGTATTTCTGAGCAGTATGAAATAGCCAAGGTTGATATAATTCCTGCCAAAAATAAACTGACCTTTTAGATATCCTGTGCAGTCTTGTCATGGGCAATGATATAATCTCCATTAAGCTTTTTGAAATATTCACAATAGCACCCCCCCCCCCAAACACCCCCGGGACTGCCGCCATCCAGCTCCCTATCCGAACTTCTCTCTTTTTAAAGCCAGGGGAGAAACCCTAGCCTCAGAGCTTCACCTGACCGCACAGGTGCAATCCTTCATCTACCACTTGCTCGCTTCAGACACGTGTAACTTGTTAATGAAAATAACAAAGTGTATGGTTTTGCGATAAATTGGAAAGCATTGATTATCTCAAGAAGAGCCCTAAGCTAAAAAAAAATAATAATTCTCTAAAGGAGCCATGTAACCAGCATTTTCCTCCATAAGGCTATGTGAAATTCAAATAAGCAGTGATAAGGTTTGGCAATTCCTAAAGTCTGAGATACCGAACCCTCAGAAAAGATGGTGAAAAACTGAAAATGAACCACATCAAGAGAAACTGTTTTAAAAATTAGTCAAAAAGAAAAACCCTGCCCACATTGGATACATCAGTGCTAACAAATCTAACAGCCTGACATGTCTGATTCCAAAAACATCTCCCAGTCAGTTTCCCAAGTGAATAAAATGATAGATCCTTAGTGGAGACTATTAAAATGTCACCTTATACCAGATATAGTTCTCCTCAAGCAATGACAAGCGGGAACAGAATGTCAACAAATTAATTCACAAAAAATGAGGTAGAAGACATGCAATTATTGATTTCAGATATTGTTTTCCCCTTTAGAAAAAAAGTCTTTGTTCTTTTCCCTAAGAACCGGATGCTTTCAAATGTACTTGTCATCCTTATGCAGGGTTCCAGCAAGACCTCTTGGAATTCTATTTTCACCCCCATGTTACTGAAGCCAGCGCTGCAGTACTTTTTAAATCTACTTGTTGGCAAAACAACCCCAAAGGTCTCTCTCAATGGAAAACAAAGTGCCTACTTATAAAGCTCATTTTGAGGACTAGGAAAGGGAGTCCAGACTTAACACCCAGTTTTCCATTCACTATGGGAACTTAACTATTTAGATTTAAGTTCTCAGAGCTTCCATTTATCACTAAAATGAGTATAATAATCAACGCAATTTAACATGTACTATGTGGATACAAAGAAAAACAGTCCTTGCTGTAAATTTCATTGTCTATAAATTGTGTCCCAGCTATGATTTTTCCACTTTTAGTTTTATAAAGCATATAATTAGATTGTTCTAAACTAGACTTTAGGAATACAATCTAATAGAAAAAACAAAAACAAAAACACAACTAGCAGGCAAAAGATAAATCAAAGACATTCAGCAGGGAAGGGGAAGGAAGAAGGATCACAACAGGGGAGGGAAGAGCACAAGAGACTATGGTGACGGTTCACGGGTGACATGGTGGTGGAATTCCATTGGGATTACACCTGCGAGAAACCACATGTAAAAAAAAAAAAATACATACATAAATTAAAAAAAAAAGGTACAATCTTTTTTTAAAAAAAAAATTTGTTTATGCGTACAAGAGCTGGGTGTGTAGACCAGTGGTGCAGGGCAGAGGGTGAGAAGATTCACCAGAGACAGAGTGGGGAGTAGAACAAGCAGACTGACTGAAACACACTGCTGAGGGGAGCAGTAGCCAAGACAGGAGAGGTCTGCTGCACCATGTGGGTCAGCTCCCTGGTGGGGGATTGAACTCGCACTGAAGTGGCTGCTGATAGAATCATAGTGCTGAGACTTAACCCCCTGTGCCACCAGAGAGGACACACAATCTAACTTTTCAATCTGGTGCATCAGAATACTTGTTATGATATCTACAGGAGTAACATGGCCAATCCCATTTGAACACTGACACGTAATCAGTGCTGTTCTACAGAATTTCCTAAAACAGAGCCTTTTCTTTTTATCTTTGTTGTCCTTGAGGTGTTAATACTAGACTGAGTTTAATATATATAAAAGCACTGCAACGCTAAAGGGTATCCTTAAACAAATGCCTCAGAAGTGCCTTATTTGATATAGTACAAGGGTATAGCACTTCACTATCTTCGAAAATACTCGTATTGATTAGGTAAGGTTTATCTCTGATATAGAGAGCTAAGAGAACATGAAAAGAACAAAAGCTCAAAACAAACTTTTTTCTTCCAAAATTTGAAATGAAGGGGACAAAGAGATTTGAGAGATAAATCTATTTGGTCACAGTATGTAAAGTCAGCTACAGTTTAATTACAACTCAGTTTTCATCTTCCTAAAATGAACAAGCATATAATCAAATCTTTTCATTGTGAAAATTGTTACGGGCCTAGGAATCAAAGAAAACACTTGTTCAGATTATCTACCTATTTCTATAACCAGAACAATAATTTTGGACTATCCATATCAAATCAGCTTTTTTATAAAGAATGCTTATTTTGTTGCAAAAGGATTTACATCTGACACATCGCTTTCAAACAGCATAAAAAGTTCGTTTCTATTAGCTGCACTAGTGACTTTGAAATGGCTGCCTGAATAGTCATCAAAGCCTCAGAATATCTTCTCTACTATCGTTTCAGATCAATCACAAGTTCAGAAACACTGAATTCCAGAAAATAAAGTGACACACTAGAAAGAGTACGATGCTAGTTTCTGAAATTTTATTATTTTTAATTACATACAGTTCACAAACAGAAACCTTCTAACATCACACACAATTCCATAACCAAATGTTGCAATTTTATCAACATTCTTTAACTATTTACACTGTCTTCCTTCAACAAAAGTGCAATCCAAGACATCTTGACAAATCTTTATTGACAAGAATATATTTTTGAGCTGGTTTTAATGTTGCCCATCCATTTTAGTTACTTTCAATTGACCTGGAAGAATAATTTACAGGACACAGAGACGAGCTGGGTCAGGCAGCATCCTACTATAGGAACCAAAACACTGAACAAGAGGACTTTCTCCTCACCTCTGTCCCAACTGCCCAATAAAATTACTCAACAGCTTGTGTCATGATGCTAAACAGGAAAGCAAACTGGAGTTTCTGACCTGGACACAGGAGAACAGACATTATGTCAAACACTGACTGCAAAATGAAAGACTTTTAGCAAATTAGTTTTGGTGGTCTAGTAAGTTATGTATCAGTATATCTGTTAGTTTTAAAGTTTAAACACCTAATAAAATTCCTTCCTGATGAGTTAGTATCCCCAAAGCTGATATGAAAATACTTCTTTTTATTCTAAAAATGAACTTCTTTTACAAAATCTAGAAATTAAAGAGTGGCAAAAGCTCTTTCTTAATTAGAAGGGGATAATTCACCCCACTTCCCAATTTCAATGTTTATCTTTTAAAGTATAAACCCAATGTATCAACTGCTTCAGATACAAGCAGAGTTGGCCTGAAGAGAAAATGATGAGACCATCAGAAATAGGCATCTCACTACACGAAAGCAGGTAATTTTATTTGTTCAAGGTATATGTCTTAAAAACAAATGATTTCTTAAAAAGTTAGAGGAGATGAAAAATCACTTTGAAATTATTAGTCATTTATGAGTAGTTCATGTTATTGAACACTATTCATCAAAAAAGCAGAAAATGGATCTCTTGGGTGACTAATATCCTTAATATCCTTTAATATCCAAGCCACAATAAAAATAATCATCTTCTTTGACATATTCCAATTCCCACCAAGGTATTCAGAACAAAGTACTTTGAGAAAGTATAGGGAAAATATTAAGGTCAGCAGATATCCAAAGTAAGATTTATTCTTCACATTGTTGCTTACCCATTTATATTTTACCCTCAAATCAGCCAAATTTTCCCTTTTAGGCAAGAATGCAATGCCTTAACGGCAAAAGATGCTCTCAGATATGATACCTATGCCTTCCTTTTATGTAATTGCAGCATCCTACCTTTTGCAGACTCCTACCTTTATCATCAAGATAAAGGCCAAATGCAAATTTTACCCAATTACAGTGAAACCAAATCATATTTAATTTTCAGGGAGTAAAAAACAATATGAAGAAAACTATTAAACACATCAGACACTACAGTCATAACAGTTTTAGACTGAGAAGCTTGCTGGATATGATCTGCATATAATTTCAAGGTTAAGAACAATAATATAAGCAGGTTTCACTACAAAAATTGAGATGGGTTAAAGAATAGCATTACAAATACTTTACTATTCATTTAACTTCAGAAATAAAATCCCAATGGTACTCTGAAGACAAGAGAAATTTACTAATCTTTTTACTTGGATACATAAGAGAATCAAAAGGGAAATAGTTAATTCACAATTAACAGCTTTATGCAGTAAGGACAAATTTGCAAGGGATATGTCCTATAGACCTCTTTAACTTGCATCAAATACTGTCAGATCAATAATGATTTTCTGCTTCTTAGAAGCATTAAGCATTTGCCCACAGCTGTGAAATATTTTTCAGATCATCAAACACCAAACTAGATGCTCTAAACCAAGTGATAATCATCTAAACTGAATAATGAAAAATATTAGTTAATATACTGGTGCTTTGATGGTGTGCTGTTTCAAATAAAACATCAAATATTTCATGTAGCAGAACTGAAACCCACTCCAATAATGCCTAAACACTTCTGAGAGGAAAACCAATTGTTTTTTGAGAATAAAAAGTAGTATCGACCAATGAGTTACATAAAATGTTCACGGCCTCAAATTTAACTGCCCGTGAAATGGTATATTTTCGGCTTTCTTTTAGCATATATTCATATTTGAAATCATCAAATTTTGTTTCAGAAAACATATTCCAATCTAATCCTAGAAGGATGTAGGGCATCAATCTATTTAAGTCACCCCGAGCTAGTGAAAAAAGGCTGTATTTTGGAAAGCCCAATGCTCTGATTAATCAAGTTATAAAAGTTCCCTTTTTATTTTCACCAATGGCAAGGTACATATGGATCTTTAGAATTATCTCTTTTTAAACACATTGTTATACATTATAATTACTGGATTTCCAAAATAAAACACACCCTAAAAAGGAATATTATCTTTTCCTCCTATCTTCACAAGTAATCTTTCCTTTCCTTCCTAGGGTCAAAGCTGATTTTCGAAACTTGGCATTCAATGGGTAAAACGTGGCTATAATCATTTTGGGGGAAGGAAAGTGTGGCAACGATTGGTTCTGAAACTCATCAGTTAGGGTGCATGCCTGATATTTACCTGTGAGAAGGATCAAATGGCATTTCAGCAGTGCAACCTATGTAAATCACCACCCCCCAAACCATGTTATTCCTGGGTTCTCCTTAAGAGCTAATAAGACCAATATCATGGACACAACTCAATTAGCAGGGTTCTGTCTTTCTTGCCCACTTCAGTCAGTGTGCATCAACAATGCCAAACTTAGCATATTCTCTCTGTTACAGGTCAGTTTGCCTAAAAATATTTGCAATATCAATAGCTTTCACCTGTCTTATAATTTGGGCATTACTTTCAGTATGATAACTGACTGCTAAATTACAAGTGATAGAAAATGCACTCATGTTCATTTACAAATAATCTGTCAGTGAGGGCAAACGGCAGGTCAGTGTGCACTGCAAAACGCTAAGCCCAGAGAGACGAATACACTGTCAGCTCTCCAGGCAAACACTTACATTCACTTGTCACAAGTTTTTCCCAAGGCCCAGACAAGATCAAAAGTGGGTCTTGAGACAATTAACATTTCAGTAAGAGTTTCCTCCCAACTCCTACTGCGCTCTTAATTAATGACCACCTAACCCCTTTCCAAAATTTATCCCATCCTCCCCACCACCTTAAAAGCTGCATGAGAGACTCTCAACGATAGTGAACTATTACCCCCAAACTCACAGGATTACCCACTTGGGCTCTGGTCATGACCACAGACTAAGACTTGGGAGTGAAGAGAAGGCTGGGGGCAGCCCCCACTTCAGTGGCACACATACACAAAGGAATTCTCCTTTAAATTAGAAAAGAAATTAATGTCACAGAATGTTTCTCTATAAAAGATATGTAATAAAGTAATAATATCAATAAAATAAGCTATTACTAAAGCAAAGCTTTCATCAATAAGCTTCGAGAACTTTGAAGGAAGAAAATGGCTTCACGAAATGGTAGTCCAGGTTCCCACAGTGTGGACACTGCTGGACGTTGCTGTACTCGGAGAAGTACTGCATCCCGATCCGCACGTCTATCACAGGCTTCCCGCAGTGCTTACAGTTCAGGCGGGCCTGGAGGGGAAACACAGACATGTGAGCCGCGGTGGGCTTTCTGCTTTGCAACACCTCATCCAAACCAAAAGGCAAAACTGGGACATCTGGGAAACTGATAAAGAATTTTCAGTAAAGCATCACTTTTCTGACACAAAACCAGATCTGCAAGGCATAGGATAAGCATAAAGTATATATTCATCATCAGCTTGAAAGACTAACAGCTTCTAATCTCTGTCCTGATGTGCAGCACCATTAGTAGTTTCCTTCTGGTAGGAAGAAAATTCCAAAACATGCACTGTCTAAATTTGTTCACTCAAGTCCCCCAGGGGAAAGTCCAACCCCCTAGGTTTCAATGTATGGTAACATTCACGTCCCTCACCCAAATCTATGTAAAAGTTCTTTAAAGAGACTGAGTTTATTTTAAAAATTCGTGCAATTTTTTTTCCAATCTACTCCTTACTACATTTGTGTTTTCTGTAATAGTAAAATTTTCCTAAATTATTCAAGTAAAATTTAGCAATTTAGGAAAAAGTAGTATGTTTACCCTGAGGCTTCTGGAACCCACTAGCAAACTCTGCCTTCATTTATGTCTGGTCTTTCTCTAATAGCACATTCCTAGAGGCTTTCAAGCAGAGGTTCCAGGACTCAGGTGAATAATCAGAATTTATAAATACAATAGACTCTTACTTTAAATTCATTCTAAAAGTGTAATAGAAAAGTATAATGATCATTAGTCCTTAAAACAATGATGAAGTAGACAGTAGCATGTGACTTTTAGATGATGAAAGCAAGGCATGGTGTAATAAAGTAAAATACCCAAGATGATGTAGTTAGGAGGTAGAAAGGTTGAGATTTAAACCAACTGCTTACTCCAGAGCTCTTAGCAATTACAGGGACTATCTTTCCAGAATCTGATTTTAACCCCCCTTTTAACTGATTAATCTCTCTCAGCAATATTAAAAGTGATAAATTCTGAGCAAAGCTCTCTCTTTAACTTGTTACCTCTTTTAATAAAAAGTAGTCATTGTTTATTTTGGGCTCTAAGTTTCACTGGAAGACTTCCCTTGATTCCTTAACAGTAAATATAGCTAATTGACTGTTTTAAAGCCAAACAGTAATCAAACAGGGTTTCTATTTCAGTAGGAGGCTAGAAAATAAAGGTCTGACCTTTATAAAGAAGAACCAAATAGCGACTATAAAGAGGCTGGTTAAAGCAGGATGCTATTCTGATTTCTCCCTAAAGATACAGAAATAATCCCACAACTTTTCAGTGGTTGTGAAAGAACACCAGATAGGATATTACAGGTTTTCATCATGGCTGTGACATATTTGCGTAGATCTGGGTAAAATAATACAAATTTTTACACCTCCAATGTATTTGGAAAATGAGTCTGACCAAGATTCCCAGTCTTTGCTGGCACTAATATTCTGAATTACAGGTTCAAATTTTCTTTCACTTCCTTTTTTCTTTAAAGGAGTATGTGTGTAGAGAGGGGAAACATTTCCTTTTGTGTCTCTCATGTCAAGAGCTGACACAGGTATAGTACTATAAGATGACACAGTGAGTAATAATAAAAGACTGTGATATCTCTTTCCCAAAGTTAAGTTTTGAAATGGAAATGTGGTCAATGTGTGAGAACAGCATGAACAAAGTTAATCTTGTCTGGAATCAAACAACAGGCCACGGATGGCCACTTAGGCGTCTCATGGAGATATTTATCTCCTTAGGTCACTAGCTGAAATAGTGACTCTACAATTTTACTGACACAGGTGACCTTTCAAATAAACTGATAATAGCAAGGATAGTCTCACTACAAAAACCAAACCACAATGTTACAGATACAAAAATATGTAATAACTAATTTTAAAAAATTTTTATCAGATATTTACAATAAAAGTCAGGCTTTTTTTTTTTTTAATATGGCCACTGAAGAGCAAAGGAAAATTTCTCTGCCACCCACAAATATCAAGGAATCATATAACAAGAGCTTTCTTAGAAATAAACCACAAAATTTCCAAGGATTTTGGTTTGTTGCCTGTTTCTATGTACATACTTAATACACTTTCACGTTAATAGTTCCTTCTTTTCCTGATGACAGCTAAATTTTAACTGCTTAGCATCAGAAAACACCTCTTACTATCGCTTTAAGGATTACAAATATTTCATGTCAACCTCAAACACCTTCTAAGCAGGCAGTCCCTGGGTAACTGTACTATCCCACAGGGAAAAAAGAAAAGGAAAACCCTGTCTACTAAAGGAAATCAAAGTTTCTTCTTCCTTTTCAATAATTACTTTTTCTTACTAGAAACTTGGTATATGTTAACACACAAAACATGAGAAAACAGAAGTAAACAAAAAGCAAACTACAGACACCACTTATCACCCACTGTCCAAAGATAACACCTGGTAACAGGTTAGCAGATTCCTTTTCATATTTTTCCACAATAAGGAAGCATGCTACTGGGCCGTTTTATAACCTGACTTTCTGACTAAATATACTGAAAATATTCCTCATGTAATTATACATTACAGTATCCCCTTTAATGACTGCACAGTACTCCAGCAATGGCTGCACCACACTGTGGTAAATCAGCCACCACTCCTGGGCTTTGGGGCAAGTTTTCTGACTGCTCACTACTAAAACATCTTCTCTATGTCCTCACCCCTCCCCCACAGTAACTACAGTGCTTCTTTTAACTTCTCCACTTGGGGACAGAAGCCTGATACCACCCTGAGCTTGCTCAGTGGGGTCCATACCAACCTGACAGCATGGAGAGGCAGCCAGGATGTCGTAGGTGTACATGGTGCCTAGCTGGTGCCAGCTGCCATCCCAACGGGACTTACACTTGATGCAGATGATCTTGTGAACCCCTTCCAGGCAGTCCACGCACACGGCATACAGGTGCATGAGTCTCCCTATGCACAGAAGACATAATGCTGAGTGGCCATCGAGGAAACACCTTTAGTCTCCAAAGGGAAAAATGGTTCATATATCAATTATAAACAAACATTTCCTCATTTGGGAAAACACAAAAAGCAAAATAGATGATATTTATTCCCCATCCCCAAGACGTCCTTTTAGAATAATGAATTATTAACTATTGTCAGTGGGACATGTACTCTAAGTTCAATCTTACTGAATACTTGCTTCACTTTTCCTGAAAAGTACTGCTAGATTTACCATATGGACATCCAAATGTAAATGGCCAAACAACACATGCACCAAACCAGCCTGTGATCACGCAGGCTTGCTGCTCAGAAGTCTATGTGTGGGAGACATGGTGGATGGACACGGAACCAACAATGATGGCCTTCAGTCACAGGCACTCGTCCACCAATAACCCCCAACACAGAAAGCCAAGTCTGTCTGGGTACCGCTATCCCAGAATTACACCACAGTCAAAATTCCTATTTTAACTGTCACTGTCTCCAAAATTACTCAGCCTTCCCACATCTAATTTAGAAACCAGAATTACAACTTATTGGGAAGTGGTTTTTTAAGAGGAATTCATTGTCGTGTGAATTACTGGGCTCTTAAAAGTCACAACCCCGTCCTCCATTATTTATCAACAAACAATGCTTGTAAATGAAAATGCTTCCCTGGTTTATAAGGATGAGTTAGAGTGCGAAAACCTGGGAAAGCGTAGGAATGTTTCCAGGATCTGCCTGGGCAATGTGCAATGGCAAGCATTTGCCCTCCATGTGGGGATCAGGGAGCTCCACTGCACTAAAAACTACCATCAGGAGAACACGTACTCCTAAGAGGCTTCTCATCTTACTCAGAAACTGCTGTTCACTGCCATCAGCCACAGCTCTTCGCCTGTCAGCGGTAAGGGCTAGCCTGCTCCTTACTGGAGAGCGGTATACAGTACTTACAGGGAAACCTCCCAATGCTGTACTTTACATGATCAGGGACCAAGTTTTATTCATCTCTGTATGCTCAGCACCTAGCACAATGTCTGGAACATGAAAGCACTTCCTAATTGTGTGCTGGATGAATAAATGGGGCGTATTAATAGCCAAAGACATTATAACCTTGGGGGCCCCCTACCCAAAATGGGAAGGGTGACAGGAGCATCTCAAAATACAGCTCACCTCTGCTGTAAAGCAGTGCAACTTTTTAAAAAGGTCTCATATGTCATGGTCGACTTGGAGTGGCCTGGGGACATTTTAGACCTTAGTTCTAGTATCCGGGAGCCAATGGAAAATGTTGCCTCCTAATTCTCAAACATTCAAAGATATCAGGCTGCTGGGAAGGGTGAGGGCGGAGACAGAGAGGTCAAGTGTTGGTAGCAAAGACCATGATGAAAGTTAAGAGGTAACTTTTACCAAGGGTCTGGCACTGTGCTCTGAGGCTATGTGTATCATTTCATTTAACCCTCCCAGCAACACTGTAAGTAGACATTATTATTCCCACTGAGATAGGCGGGCCCGGAGCCTAGCAAGGGCGTGAGTATCTTGCTGAAGTTCACAAAAATAAAGTCCAGACTAAAATTCATCTATCTGTCTGACTTATAACCTCCAGACAAGCTCATAGGAACTCCTGGCCTGGACTGATACTCCAGATTGCTTTCAGTTATTATACATATTCAACCTATAGAGAGCCAAAGAATTGTAAATTTCTAAATGCTAGGGTTATCAAGTCAAACAAAAAGTAGATTCCTGTGGGAATAGTTACCTGTGGTTGTAGGCCATAATGAAGCACAAAGAACTTCCTAATTAGATTAATCCTAACAAATTATTCAAACCAAATGAAGGCATCTTCTCAGAGAATTGTCAGAGAACAGAGGCTGGAGTTGGAGGCTGGGGAGGACAGAGAGGGGTAAAGGGCAAAGCAAGGATGTAAGAATCCACACGTCACCACTGGAAATAACACATTATTTCAGCAGCATATAATCAACTACAGACTGGTATTCTGTGGCCTGGAATATGGCTGTTCTGTTGAAGTTGAAAACAGCTTCTGGAACATATGGCTGGGACTCCGTGATGAGAGAAAACATGACTTACACTCACTTGCTTTAAAAAAGATTGCACGGACTTCTCCAAGGCATGGCAGTAAGATCACTAACAGGTGTCAAGGCTCCACCTGTGGCACTGACTTGTCTGATAAAACACCCTTACCTTTAGATTTTATCATTAATATTTAAACTTCTCAAGACCCTTATAGTACACACCTACCCATCCACTTATGTATTTGTGGATTTATATGTATTTCTGTGCACACTCACATGTATACACACATGCACACAGAGTTCTCAGGCCATCTTATTTTCACTCTTTTCCATTCACTCCTTGGTGAGTACTCTCAGTATTTTGTCTTAGCTGCTACTATCTTCCTTTTTTCCTCCCCATTCAAGACCTCTTCCATGCTTAAGATTTTAACCATCACTCATAAAACATGCTCCCCTGTGTCATCCCAAACGCTAATTTCTACTAATGGTTGCTAGACTCTCCGTACAAAAGTCCCAACATCCTCTCAAGCCTAACACACACAGATGCCTTCATGCTAAGATCAGGCTCTCCCAACTTTTTCCACTCCTTTCCATGACAGCAACATCAATCAACAAGATGATTCATCTTCATCTTCTGCAGTCAAGCTGTACCAAAGCTCTTCCAGATATTCCCATCTTTCATTTCCTGCTATCACTACACAGCAGTCCTTTCATGTAGATTGGAGAAATAAGTTCCAATTATCAGTTCTACCCCTTTCAAACAACTTTTCACTCAAGCAATTATCTGCTTGAATTTTTTTAGACCCTATGATTCATAAAGAATAAAGCAAAGTTCTTTATTATGGCTTGAAGGATACCCACAATCTGTCTTCCACCTACCCTACTCATTTTCCCTTCTAGAACCTATGCTCCAAACAAGTTCTTCTCTCCAGTTCTCTCAGTATCTCCCAATTAACCTGTTTTACCACTATTCCCTTGCTACTATTGCTCTATCTCTGTATCAATACACACAGAAGGTGACTAGCCCCTCTGCTTATCAAATATCCAACCCATCTTTTGACATCTGCCTTCATATTGCCTCCTTCGACTACTCAAGTCAAAGGTGTCCCTCCTTAGAAATTATAGGATGTTTAATGTACATAATATTCAGAAGTTACTAAATCCAGAGGTGTTGTAAGAACCTTAGGCCTGGTGAAGTCAGTTACATTTTTATAAAAGTATCTTACATCCTAAGATTTAAACTGATCTAAGACTAGGACTAATAACACCCAGCACACATATGGAATTCTTAAATCGATCTGTTGCTGGATTAAGTGAAAGAATTTGCCCATCATGAACAGAGAAAGACTACTACTATTCATATGTACCCTGTAGCTTCATTTGTTCACATAAGAAATTATTTCCAGTCTTAATTTGGTGAGGTAAAACTGATTCCAGCTATTTCCCTCTAAAGTTATCCCCAAATACTATAAAGAACAAGAAACAAAATACAAACTCCATCTTCCATGAAACTACAAGGCACCTGCAACCTGGAACCAAAACATGAGATCAGAAGTTGGATGGAGGGATGGTAAATGGTTTAACTCTGACACTGGACAACAGATACAGGGTAGGATGGGATGAGGCACTGAAAATGAAATGGTGGGAGTAACACGTAATCATACATTCTATGTAATTTTCTCCATCAAGAAGCGGTCTATTCAACCATCCCCTGAATCCTACAACTTATTTTGAAGAACAGGATGTGACAGAACTGATTACTTATTTTCAACCTTAAGCCACTACAGAGATAACCTACAGTGCCTACTGTCACCCTCCTGAACACTGTCCTAAGAATGCCAGGAGAGGGCCTCCCCTGGTGGTGCAGCGGTTGAGTGCTAGGCGCAGCCTCTGCAGCCCCGGTTCGTTCCCTGGCCACCAGCCAGGGTCCCACAAAAAAAAAAAAAGAATGCCAGGAGAAAAAGCCCAAGCGAGGCCACTGAAAGATGAAAGACTGTATCGAAACAAAGATGAGTCATTCTACCTGAAGCTACTGATGCCAACTATTCCACCAACTGCCAAATTCATGTGAGAGGTCATGCTACACAACCAGTGCTTACAATTGTGAGAAATTATAAATCACTGTTTTAAACCACTAAGTTTTAGAATGGTTTACATTTTAACAAAAGCTAAACATATAGGGTATTAAATGAAATCCCAGAAAATGAATGAAACTACCACCTGCAAAGTCATCTCCCTTTCGCTGAGAAAGACAAGAAAGCACATCCATGAAACAAGAACAGGATGTGATTTAAAAGAGTTCTTGGAAATTATAATAAGAGAACAGAAAATCTTAAGTCCAGGGTATAAATGAGGTTGAATGGTCAAATTTCTTTCAGATACTAGAGCGCAAAACCAAACAACAAAAATCACTTTTCTCTGAGACTTCCTTTGAGTGACACAGCGGAGCCTATATGTTTATCAAGTAACCCTGAGTTGAACTTCAAAACCAGCTAGAGACACAGGTGCTAGAGAATAGTTACCCAGAAGCAAGGGTCTCACCATCAACAGAAACCAAGACTCCAATTACCTAAATAAAAGCCCCTCCAGACTTCCTCATGTTTGAGTGACCCTACAATTAGCCAATGAACTTTAGCCAAGTCCACTTTCTTTGCCCTGATCCATTTTTGGGGGCAATGAAACTGAACTACTCTGTTCTCAACTCCGGTTCCCCAAATCTATGTAACATCATTCCCTTTCTTAATCAGGAAGAAAAATTTGAGTTTATCTCCTATCTCCTTGTCAATTTACAATAAAGCTTTTCTTTTCTCAAAACCCTAGTGTCATAATAATCTGGTAGCAAGTCCATTGCCTGGTAACAAGTAAAAGTACTGGTATATAAAATCAAGGAGAGCTCCCCAAAAGCAGAACTAAGAGGGGAACAATAGGACCAGATATATATGAGGGATTTTCCCACCTCAAAAATAATACATCAATCTAAGAGGCCCAATATGTGAAAAGTTTTTATAGTTTAAAAATAGAAAAATAGGAGGAAATTATCAAAGAAATAATACAAAAGAAAATTTCCTCAAACTGAAAACCGTAAGTTCACAAAATCAAAAAAGCCAAGAAAATACCTGGCACAATGAATAGGGGAAGAAAGATGCACACCGTGGAGAAACTTCTGAATACTAGGGCTAAAGAGGAAATCTTAAAACTTATAAAATGGTGAGGTATAAGGGAACAGATACAAGAGTAATATTAGGCTTCTCAACAGCAACATTGAAACACAAAATAAAATGAAGAAATGCCTTCAAATGTCCAAGGGGAAAAAATAATTATTATTTCCCGGATGACTATCCCCAGCCAAACAGCAATCAAGTGTGAAGATAGAATCAAGATATTATCAGACTTTCAAAGTCTCAAAGCCTCCATTCCCATGCTCCCTTTCTTAGAAAGCTTCTGGGAATGTTTTTAACAAATTGAGGGAATAAGGCAAGAGAAAAGAAAATACGGGATCCAGTTAACAGAAGACAAAAAATAGGACCGCAATCAAGGAATTCCTGAAGGGCACCTAAGTAGGAGAGCAGGTCTGAATACACCTGGACAGACAGGCACAATGAGATCAAAGGCTCCAAAGAGAAATTTCTTGAAAACAAAATTCATAAACTGTCTGACAGGAATGTGGAAATAATTTTGCAAGGTGATTTGCAGAACTGCTAAAGAGTAAAAACAGCCAACCAAGGCTTCCAAAAAAAGGGAAAGCAAATGAAAATGTGCAGCAATTTCTCATTTTAATAAAAACAAAATATGTTCTAGAATATATGGTATATAGGAAATAGAACTACACTTCTTAGCTCAACACTAAATATGTACATACTCATAATACCACAATGAAAATAGTAAGGATCTGACCAAAAATTGTGATATATTATCCTAAGTGAAAAGGGAAGATGCAAGAAAGCACAGTCATCCACCTTAAAAAATAAGTCAATGGGTAATAACTAAATTGTAGAATAAAGGTAGCAGTTTTACAGTTAGGATGGTAAACACCTGAAGAATCAGTTCAGATTTGAAAGTATCTGTCTCTGACAACAGAGACAGCAGGGGCTGGTGGGAAGAAGACAGCTGGGAACATATCATTTTTATTACTAGGTTCTTTAGCACACTTTAAAGTTATAAAAGTTATTGTCGTGCATCACACCTTTGTATAAATTCAATAGCTTTCTGTGAATTGACACATTTCTCACCTAGACTAACCAACCCCCTGTCATTCAGTTTATGGCTGAAATATCCCCAAGTCTTTGTATGTCATCCCAACCCTAACAAGCTCTCCACCCCTCAGCACCAGGGTCATGTTTGAGCTTTCAACAACCTCCCCTTTAGCTTTTATGGCTATCAAGAAAGTCTCATCTTTCAAAAATTTCAAGATTAATTCAACTAATCTAAAACACCATGGGCCTCTCTGACCCACACTTCCCCTCACGCCGTTGTTAACAGGATCAAAGAGACTACATAGCTTGCTGAGCACATGAACAGATTTTCAAAGGCAACTACTTTAGCAAGTGACATAATTATGGGATCCCTTCTCTAAATTTCCTCCCAATTATGGAAAACTGTACACCAGCAATCCTCTCTTCAAATTACAGCACAACAAAAACATAAAATTACCCACCAGGATAACTGTACTTGGTGGAGTAACATCTGAACAAAAACCACCACCACCTTCACCTCCTCCTGGGACAAAGCTGAAACATTCAAATGTCACCTAGGACCTGACTGGAACAAAAAAGCACCATCCATCAAAATTAAGCCAGAACGGGGCATTTATTCTGGGTTGTTTTTCAGCCTTTAACAGAAAGCAGGCAAGGTGAGTTAACACCTGTACCTTGAAGGTGACAAGGAACATCATATTCGATCTCGTCGTGTCTCGACGGGCTTAAGAACAGCGTTCCGTCCACCAGTGGGAACTGTTCGAACACCGGGAGGGCCCGGTGGCACAGCGCACAGTTCACCACGTTTCGGTGACTGGCGCTGAGCGCAGCGAGGATGAACTTGCGCAGGTCCTCGCCCTGGCCCATTTGGGCATCGTCTTCCATGCGCACGTGGAAAGTGTTCAACTTATGCCGGGGGATGTGGGTGAGGAGCTCGGAGAGGTCCAGCCGCCGCAGGAACTGCACCGGCGCCTCAAAGTGTCCGCCCCGGTGCACCGATAACCCCGCGGGGCTGTAATCAAAGTGGGCGTTTCGGAACACGTGCCCCCCGGCCAGGGCCTTTTTGTGAGGTTCCAGGTGAATGGCGTTCTTCAAGAATTCCCCCAGGTATCTGGAGGCACGGGGGCCGCTGAAGTGGGCAGGGGAGAGGATGGAGTACCCCGTGGGGGGGGACTGGCCGGGGGAGCCACAGGGCGAGCGGGCCCCATAGGCCGCGGCGCTGACCCCCTTCTCCTGCGAGTTCTGCCGGTCCATGGAATGTCGGCGGGGCAGGTCGGGATTCAGGCCCTTCTGGGGCTTGTTGGGAGGCCGACACTTTTTGGCCTCCTCCGCAGCCTCTCCCGGCGGTCGCCCAGTGTTCTTCTCCGCCGCGGACTTCTTCTTTTTCTCCTCCTGCATGCGCTTCACTGGGTACCAGTCTGTGTCCTTCTTCAAGTGGCCCTGCCCACAGCGGCAGGAGCAGAAGCGGAAGGCCAGGTCATAGCCCTTCTTTGTCCACATGTTCTGGCGGCACTGCTTCTCGTTCCAGCTGCGCGCCCGGCCAATGCAGTTGAACTGGACCAGGATGCTGCTCTCCCACTCATAGAAACACTGCAGGTGCATCCAGCTGCTGTGCGGGCAGTGCTCATTGTTGCACACCACCTTCTGGTAGTCGTCCTTCTCCAGGTCCACGGGCCTCCCGAAGCTGCAGATCAGTGGTGTGGCACAAAGGGCTTCTGGAGGGGAACACAAAACGAGACAGATTCAGCTCATGGGACTGGGGACTCCACTGACACCACGTCAGAGGGCAAAGCTGGATCCCCACATTAGCCCTTTCGTGCCTTTTCTGGTGTCAAGATTTCTGTCACTGGAATAACACCACTCAGGGTTAGAAAACATTTACCACTGTCCTCTGTTGTGCAAGGAAATTTATTTTCTGATATTGGTTATCTGCTGAAAAACAACCAATAAACTTCAAAAAGTCCAAATTCTTTACATGCAATTAGCTGTGAGTCAGCACTGGACACAGTGTAGCATGAGGTTTTCCTAAGAGGTGGGCACGACGACTGGCACTTCCAGGGTTCCTTTAAAAGTGAATCATGCCAGTGAACTAGAAAATAATATGAGGAAGCTACTTAACCAACCATTTCAGGCAGTATCTCCAAAAGGACACTCGATATAGAGTTTAAGTTATCCTGAATTACACAGACTGTTAGAAAATAGATCTCCCTCACCATCATTTCTATTCTAGAATGGTCTAATAACTAATGGCAGAGATGTTTGGTCAAACTGTTGGTCTGCACAAAATTATACTGTAAGGTCATAAACGAAAAAAGAAAACAGAATTCTCCAAAAGCTATCAGGAAGGAAAGTGGGGAAAATGAGATTATTTCTACCCTTTCTTGTATACATGCCCCAGAGGGCTTCAAAAAGCCTTTCTGGGTTCCCACAAAGGAAGGAAAACATAGTAACACAAAGTCATTTCCTTAACTAGCAAATAGGATTTATAGAGACTAGAGTTCTACTAGAGTCCCTGTTACTTCAATGTCCAAAACATTTTCAAAAGAGCCCTTAGAGGGCAGTAGCCCTCCCAGTTGGGAACCACTGGGATTGATCACATGTCATGCTCAGTATAAATTTCATCTGGTGTAGCTGAGAAAGTAAATGAAAACTATATATCCTGCTCCGCAATCACAGATGTTCTCAGAAAGCTCACTGGGTGGTGTGGGTGGGAGGCTAGAGGCAGGAGGGAGGCGCACCATTGTTAAGGTAGCTCTGGGTACAGGAGATGGGCAGATGCTATGGACAGCAAACCTGGGAGGGGAGGTTTGGACAGAAGACTCTGGGTTGACCCTATGTGGGGACTGCTGAGCTGCACATGACTATGTACCACCAAGGTGTAGAGACATGACTGGAGCTCAAGAGAGCTGTGAATATAGATGTGGAACTGCATACCCCCAGGTGGACGTTAAATCCCTGGAACTATGAGCTACTTCAAGAGGGATGTGAGGTGCAGAAAACAATCCTGGGAAACAATGTGAAAAGGCTGAAGGAGAAGAGTACTCAACAGAGAGGGATAAGGAATGAACTGAGAATTCACCGCAAGACAAATCAGGAGAGAATTGTATCAAGTCACTCTGGAGAAAGTTGTAAGAATGGAAGGCTAAGAAGAGTCCCAGAGTCAAGTGAGTTCAGTGTGAGTCATCTCTGCACTACTGACCTGGGCTGGCTAATTCTTTGCTATGGGATTGGTCCCGTGCACTATGAGAAGGTGAGTGGTACCATTCCTAGATGCCCCCTCAACAGACATCCAAAATGTCTTGGACATTACTAGATATCCCCTGGTAGTTCCCACCCCAAATGGGAGCCAAAGGGGAAGATACATTGAGAAATCCTCACCAAGTGAGCAGTGAGCCAGTCTTAGACACCTACGCCAATAGCTTCCTTGGGCAAATGGGCAGAGGTGGATAGTCAGGAGTAGATGGTGAGGTAAAAAGAAGCAATACAGGGCCTCCCTGGTGGCACAGTGGGTTGAGCACCGCACTGTGAAGCTGTCCGCAGCCTCTGCAGTGCCGGTTCGATCCCTGCCAGCCGTGGAGGTACCTACATGGCGCAGCAGACCTCTCCTGTCTCACCCACTGCTCCCCCCAGCAGTGTATTTCGGTCAATCTGTCTGTTCTGTTCAATCCTCTCACCCTCCCGTACATCTGGCCTATACCCTGGTTCTTGTATAAATAAATAAATCTTTAAAAAAAAAAAAAAGGAATACAGATGACCCTCCAGAAAACTCTTTCCAGACGTACAATGGTAGTGGGAAAGAGAATGAGCAGAGAACACTGGGCAGCAAAGGCGAGACTAGTCATGTTCATCAACTAGGAGATGAATGCCAAGAACTCAGGATAGATGGAAGATATGGGAGCGGGAACAAACTATGTGATTCTGCTACTCAAAAACCTTTACAACCTTACTACTGCCCCCTGAATTACAAACACATTCCAACCACCTGAATCAACGCAGGTGACAGAACCAGACTCATAGGTTAACAATCATCCCCTTCAGTGTGGGATTCAGTGCCTCAGCAAAACAATCCTAACCACCTCCATGCCCTTGATTGTTGTGGCTTCCCCTCTACCTCCACAATCCTTAATATTCATTTGTCCAAATCCTATTCAGCCTACTATACTAATTCATAGCATGGAATCACCACAGCTGCATTGGAATCCCACTATCATCACTGGTAAGCTGTATTCTTGGACAAGTTAATTAACTTCTCTTTGTGTCAACTTCCTCTGTATAAAATACAGAAAATAATTCAATGTACATTTGTGGTTGTTATAAGATAAAAAAAAATACACCAATAAAGAGGAGGCATTTAGAGCAGGACCTAGTGCCAGAGTAAACCTCCTCTCCTTCCTCGAGCTCCTTCAAGATCTCCTCTAGACACCAATTTTCCCGGGATACCCGATTCACCAGCATCCTGGCCCAAGCACCCAGCATGGTCTGGTCTGAACCCCACTGGATGAGGACTCAGGAGAGGATGCCTCTTACTCATCTTTGTGTTCCTGGTACCACTGGGCCCAGGCCTGGCACAAATCTGGTGCTGAATAAAGTTGCATTAAAAAGGAACACTGGCACATGAAGCCCACACATGACAAGCAGAGCAGACGGAGAGAGATGTAATCCTAGAGAAAAAGTCCTAAATGTTCTAAAGCACATGAAAAAGAAATAGAAGATTGGTTTGAAAATGCTGAGTAAATTAACTGCAGTCACCTGGGCTGTGACCTTTAATGTCCTTTAAAATGTTAATTAGTCAATTAAACAAAGTTCAGTTGCTTTTATCTTCAATCCTTCAGAAGAAGAGTCTTGAAGGGAATGTCTGAAAAATAATGGCAGTAACCACAGTATTATAAAACTAAAGAACGGACTAACCATATCTTTGCATTCACAATATCCAAAATTTTTAAATGTAAATGCTGAGTGACTTGATAATTCTTTACAAAGTAGTTTCACATTAAAAAAGATGGAAAAAAAATTCTATTTATATCTTTTCCCAAATGTTGCAAATGTATCATTTAATCAGTTCTGAGCACTTCCTACATAACAGATCTGTGCATCTGAAAAGACTGGCAAGTCGTGCTAAGAGGACTCACAGAAGTATATACACAGATTACAGAGGGGGGCAGCACAGCCACGCACCCCTGTTCCTGTAACACTGTCTGTAATATCACAGCCATTTTCATTGGCTTCTGCTATGCAAGACTTAGCAACAAAGAGACCCCACTGTCCCTCTTGTTTTCATCTGCCACTCCAATGTGGCCTTGTGGCTAGGCCTCAAAAACACAATATAAAGCCAAGGACTTGTTTCGCAGCATATAATATATGCAACTGACATCTTACCCTATTTCACCCTTCCACTGGCAGGTGAGACTCCCAAGGATGCAGGAAACTCAGGAACAGGTAGAGCCTTAGAAATAACTGAGAACTTCTAACAAGGCTTCTGCATCTCACACAGTCTTTTCACAGAACTGCAGTAGGCTGATCTCAACATTCAGACATGATTTTTTCAAGGTTTGGTGCAAATTTATCTCCCTCTATAATTACTCTCTGACCACCAGGTCCCACCCCTCCCCGAACTTTCCACACCAGAAAGGCAGCTAGAAAGAATGAATGAAGGGGTTGGTTGGGTGCCAGGGGTTCTGCTACTAACTAGCTGTCTGATGTGGGACAGTTTCCTCATCTGTAAAGATGAAAATGCTTACCCAGCTCACCTCAAATACATAGGGAAGCACTTTGTAAACTGTAAAATTCTATAAAAATCCTTCTATACTACCTCTATAATTTTATGTGTGTATTTAACTCCATAACTAAATGCAAGTTGCTCCAATGTATTTCCTGCTTTTACTAATATTTTAGAAACACAATAGGTATTTAGGCAGTAATAAGGAATGTCACGTACTTTTTAATTTCCTAAAAATTGAAACATAGGAGAAGGTTTTGTAACTAAGAAACAGCACTGTTGGCATTCAAAATCATACCTATAACAAATTAGAAATATTATAGAAACATATTTGATTGCTTCCTAAACGCTGTCTCTAAACTTACAAAATCCCTAGCTCTTAAGAATAGCCATCCCAGGGCCTCCCCTGGTGGCGTAGGCAGTTGAGCATTGCACTGTGAAACTGTCCTAAGCCTCTGCAGTACTGATTCGATCCTGATCCCGGCAGGCGAGGTTCCCGCATGGCGCAGCAGACCTCTCCTGTCTCACCTGCTGCTCCCCTCAGCAGTGTATTTCATCAGTCTGCCTGTCCCCGCTCTGTCTCTGGTGAATCCTCTCACCCTCCTGAGCATCTAGCCTGTACCCCGGTTCTTGTATAAATAAATAAATAAATCTTTAAAAAAAAAATAGCCATCCCACTAAGGCAAAAAATGTAGGAATACAGACTGATCTGATACAACTAAACCTGCAATGGGAGGGGTGGGTGAAGGGAATCCCACATTCAGTGAGCCTGCCTGTATCACAGACACTGCAAAGTCAGCCTAACTCTAATAACTTGACTATCAGGCAATATGAGAAAATGTTCCTTTATGCGGTCAGCACTGTCTTAAAAAATGTATATAAACACTTCAATGCCTGTTTCTGCAGCTTCATCAAATATTCAGGACCCAACTTATATTTCTTCCTACCCAAGTAAAAATAATCAGGGCTCACCTCACTCTGGGCAAAATCTCAACTAGTTTCAAGTCTGGACAAAAGAATAACTCCACTGAGGTCATGTAGGCAAAGTCTGCCTCTCCCCACCCTTGCCATCCTGTCTCCCTTCTCCCACTGCCGGGCTCCAAGCCCCTCCTCCCTGGAAGGGAAGGATCTGGCAGCAGGCAAGAACACTGGCTGGCCAGCACACCCAAACCCCTTGACAAACTCCTCACGCTTAACAGGACCCCAAAAACCAGGTATTGCCATGTTCAGCTTGTTAAATATGAAATTAAATGTTTCTACTCTTAAATAATTCTAAGCATTGATGCAGGTGAGGCATTGGACAGGGTTGGGGGATCAGGAGGACCTTCTGAAGGTGTGAGAGCTTTCTAGGGTTGGGGGATCAGGAGGACCTTCTGAAGGTGTGAGAGTTTTCTAGGTAAAACGCAAGGCAAGGACTCGGTTCTAGTCATTCTTATAAGCCCACTACTTTGCTACTTTGCAAATCACATTAAGTGCTGAATAAATTTTAATCTTGTTGAAGAAAAATATGACTCAACTGGATAGAGCACTCAGTGACAGTGCTGAAGGGAGAAGGGAGGAAGGGTGACGCCGTTGGGGAGGGTCTGAGGGCAGAGATCTCAGCAGGTCATCTAGACTCAGACCAGGACTCTCACTGGGGCAGCATCTGGCCTCCCCCTCATTTCCTGAAATGGGCCTGAATATATTTTACCCTCCTTCTAGTACCCTGTTGCCAAATAAAAATTTTAGGATTTCTCAACAACTATTTTACTATATGGCTCTTTTCCATATAGCAACTCCTCTCACATGAGAACACATCCTCCTTCAGTTTCCTCAGGGTATGAGGTTTCTGACCACAGGGTCCTCCACTCCAGCTCCCTGAGAGGCCACAGAACATGCTGATTGATACAGACTCTGGAGCCAACCAGCCTGACTTGACTCTCTGTTCCGCAATTTACTAGTTTTAAGATCTTTGGCAAGTCACTTAACCTCCCTGTGCTTCTGTTTTCTCACCTTTAAAAAGAGAGACATTATATCACTCACCTCAAAGGTTTTGTCATGAGAAATAAAGGAGTTATTAAGGTAGTTTGAACAGTGTCTGCCACATAATAAGCACCATTTAAATATAAGCAATTATTATTAAAAGCCCCATTATTTTATATTACTTGATGTAAAAACCAAAGGTAGTTTGAATGTGCTTAGAGCAAAGCTATAACCAGGAGATGACCATCCTCACTTCTCCATAGGTAAATAATTACAAGAAATGTATTTTATCCCCACAGCAAACAAGAAAGGGTGACATGCATAAAACAATACATTAAATATTTAAATATCTGACAACTGTAAAGAAATACAAGGAAACGGTAACCTTCAAAATTCTCTTCTAACCCGTTAAAGATGTTTCCCCTCTCTCAAATAAATAAGTACCTTGTTATATGTATTTTTCAGCCTAAGTGATCTTTCCCAAGACTAGGTAACAGGGATTCATGAAGTATGGCTGCAGCTGATTCATGGGCTATGTTCCTGAAGAACTTACATAATTCAAGACTGATTATCCTACAGTCTGGGGGAAGGGTGTGGGTAATGCATCCTCAGAACACATAAATTTGCAGTCACTGTGTTGTATTTTTGCTTTACTGATGCTTTTTAATGTCAGCATAATCTTTAATATTTCTCAGTTGTACTTCATAAATTGACAGCATGGCATAGCACAGTGTGTTTTATCACATTTTTATACCAAAGTTACTGATTTTCAGGATGATTTCAGCACCAGCATTAGAACATTTGAATGATATTTTAAAAACAATAATAAAGACTTAAACTTTTACAGTTAATTTTAAATAATAACACAACTGTCACAAAATTCCTTGAAGAGGCTCTATAAACAAGAGTTCACATAATATTGCCACAGACTAGATTATTTTTCTTTATAAGAGAAGGTGCTGCTACTAGGTAGCAAAGCATTTTTACAATTCAGTCAACCTGCTAGCTTGAAAATATGGGATGGCCTGATGCATAATTTGGGGGAACATGTCTATTGAAATTTTGCACGAGGCGAAGCTTTTATTAATATTATTTATGTATCATTAGTTGAAATTTGCATAATTCAATTTGCATATAATGGGATCACACTGTACTAGGAAATAAATTAGCAGACTGCCTTTCTCTTGCTTAGAAATTTCATCTTGAGGGTGCTGGGTCACTGAGAACTCCACAGCATGCAGCATCACATGGACTACTGCACACACTTGCCCTAAAGGAAAGGCAGGTCCAGGAGCTCTGGGACCAAGACACAGTATCATATGATTGGAATAGAACTCACATTAAGTATATATGAACATGCATGAGTGGGTGTGTACATACACATGTACATACATGTAACTGAGGAAAACTGTCCAGCTGTTAAACTTCCATTTTTTAAAGATTTTTTTATTTATGCATACAAGAACTGGGGTACAGGCCAGAGGTGTGGGAGGTGGTGAGAGGATTCACAAGAGACAGAGTGAGGAACAGAACAGGCAGACTGACAGAAATACACTGCTGAAGGGAGCAGCAGGTGACAAGTCAGGAGAGGTCTGTTGCACCATGTGGGTATCTCCCTGGCTGAGGATCGAATTCATGCTGCAATGGCTTTGGACAACTTCATAGGTTGTGTCTCAACCCCTTGCGCCACCAGGGAGGCCCTAAACTTCCATTTTTAAAGACTCTCAAAAATACTTCATATAATGCCCTTTAGTACTGTATTTCAGTTTCAAAGCATTTTTCTTTCTTCTTCTGAAATAATATAGAACTTGATTTTGGTTATCCTTGTCAATGTTCTCCTTTACCAGGTCAGATCATCAAAATGTGGCCATAATCAAAACTCTTAAATCTAAAACTGCTAAATGTGTATATGATTCCCATTTATCACCAAAGTATAGCACAACATCCTCAAAATGTTGGCCTGCTTCTTCTGTCTTGGTTGGCTCAGAATGGCACCTGGATCATAGTGAATTGTCCCCTTTCCCTGACCTCTGGATTCTTAGGGGTCTCAGCTAGAAAGAGGAATGCATTTACCTCTTCCCTAATCTGTCCAACAGGTAAAGCACATGACTGCATGATTAACCAGCCATGGGTCATCTGCACACCAGGTACCCAGCAGAAAATACAACTCAACTCATGGCCGGTCAAAACTGTCCAACATTCAACCAAGAGAAACCATTTTTAAGAAAGATTTCATAGGTGATGGCTACACATTTCTTCTAGATCAAGGTTCGAGTGGGGCATTCTGCTGCCTTTACCTTGTGTGGTCTCTCCCTCCTTTAAAACATCTTATTGTACGTAACATCTTTGGACCACAGTTGACCATGGTAAGTGAAAGAGCAGGCAGTGAAACCGCAATTGAGGTGTGGCAGGGAGGGAGGCTACTATACTTACTCACATGCCAGGACCCTGGCAGCGTCTGTGTATGTGGCTCTAGTGCTAGATAAAATCTATCCCTCTAGTTAAGCCAGGCATCACAGACCTGGTAACATGGACTGCTTTAGCAGGTTATTTAACCTTTAAGTGATGTGAGCAAACCTAATAAATTTGTTTCATTTATGAAATGATATGGTCATGAACACTGCTCACAGTATTTTACAATGTCTTCTGAATGGCTAAGTGACTACTTTGGATTTTTTTTTTAATCTTATGGAAACTGAAGAGCACACCACTGCTTCATTTGCTCTTCCCTTTATGCATTAGTAATCTGAAACTCAAATTTGTGACCTAATGCTTATACTGACTCAGGACATTTGTTACTTTTCCTAATAGTTTTATCTCTATTAATAATATTCTCACTTATTTATTATTTATCTTATACTATTGTATGTATTTCTGAAAGTCACTTTATTTTTAGAATAAGAAGGGCATAAATAATCAAACCAAAGACCCACTCTCCACCTCTTCTTTTAATTTTCAAATCCATTTTGCCCAAAGTATATTGACGTCTGTACTTGATTAACACCAAGGTGCTCCTCTCCCTCCTTTCCAGAGTCAGCCAGAGAAGGGTGCAAAGTGAAAGTGGAGACCAAAGCTGACTGCACAGGCCCCAGGAGCCCCATACACACAGCACTTTCAGGAAGGGCTATACCCCCTTTGCCACGCCCCTGCTCTACTCCTCAGGAAGCTTCATGGGACACAAGCACCCAGCCCTGGAGCTGTTCACCTCCCCCATCCCAACCTCTCTTCCACTTCCCTTTGGCTCAGCTCCCTCAGTTTCAGACAATGCTGTTCATCCTACCAAGATCCAGGGTCTCTACCTCTTCCCATCTCCCCTGGTTTCGCTCTCAGTTCTTCTCTCAGACACAACTTAGTTAAGACTCCTGTTCCTCAGTGCATATCAGGCAGTCTGGCCTCCTCAATCCTAGATGCTCACCTGGTCTTCCCAGGTGCCACCCCCTCTCCTTCCTGTTTCCAGTGTCACTGGTGAATCCAAGACACAGTGAATTGGGTTTGGGATCCTTGTCTTGTCTTCTTCCACTAGGTCCGCTCTGCTTGGCTGTAACCCCTAAAGCCTAGCCTCCTCGTGCTGTCATCCTCATGTGAGTCCCGTATTCTTGCCACTTCACTTTTCTCAAAACATTCCCTTTACTTCCTCTTCTCCCCTTCTCCCTCATTTATCAAACCCGGGAATTCATTTCTGTAAAAAATAAAAAAGCAAGTCCCAGAGACTAGATCTATGGGGAGAGGCAAAGAAAAGAGCAATGAATTTAAAAAATGACAAGATGTAATTTTTGCATAATCTGAACCTGCTCCTGGATCACATTACAACTGACACTAACAACTAGAGTCCAAGTGACTCCACCTTCTTGGGTGGCTACTTAAGAGAAGTCCATGTAACAACTGACTAGTGAGAGTAACAGCCTTGATTAATGCCATTAGCAAGTATAATGGTAACTTGCTTTAATAATAGGAAAAGTCATATTCATTGGCAAACTACTCATAGAAACATACTCATCTATAAGATTTAAAAGAAAAGTAAGTTTGTAGTGGGTGCCAATTGAGATAAGGCATACACATTCATATATGTATATAAGCTTATCTATAAATAACTGGATATAACCTTATCCATGTAAATTTTATATGCTTGTCTGCTCTAGATGCAATACTATTTCCACAGTGAAAATCAAGCCCCCAAAAACCTTGCATTTTACTTTCACTTGTTCTATTGCAGAAAACCCAAAATGATCTTTCAGAGGAAAACTGCTTATTATGTTCTCATCCTTTTTGCACACAGTAAACCATGAAATAAAAAGTAGAGGGCAGGGCCTTAAATTTACTAAAAGTCCAAACTCATCCTCAAAAGGGAGTTACGGATTTTCCAGCCAAGTTCTTTAGTAGTAATATTTTAACCTCATGATCTACTGTGAACCTTAGTCATTTCTGGCCTTGTTTGTAATTGCCAGTAAACAATTGTTTACTTTATGGGTTGCCCTTTTTCATGTCACAATCTGAAAGTTGGCCAGCTCAGTGTTAGCAATTTCAGGAATCTGTCATCACCATTTGGAATTCTAACCACATTCTGTAAGATGCTAATCAGTCCCTCCCAGCTTGGCATCAATGCAAATTCAGTATCTTCTTGCCATGGATTTTGGAGCTTGTTAATCTAGAGGTTTTCCCCCTTTTTTTTTTTTGAGGCACTAAAGTAAAAGAGAACGATAAATATATATATATACTAATAAGTATCTGGAACCAGAAAACACTGATTAACACCCTGCACAGATGTGATGCCATCAGCATTTCCAGTTTCCCTGTTTCTGCTCCTGGAATAAATCACAGAATATCAATGCAGTAATCACAACCTTGAATTTCTTCTAATATCACAACTGATCATGAAAACAAAAAGTTTATCATTTGCAAATATTATAGATTTGAGGCCAGATTTTTTTAATCAGTATGTGCTGATAAGCAGACTTAAGAGCAACTTACTACGTCTGATATTCAACTGTTATAATGAAGAAGTCAAATATATGGTAATATGAATACTTGACTCTTGGTCACTAGAGATATATACATCTACTAAAAAAACAATAAGTAATTTCTAAAAATGCTTTGAAAATTCAAACAATATAGTCAGACTTCATATAAGAAACATTTCAAAATGAACTGGTCTCTGAAGTCAGTTTTCTTAGAGGGTTTATTGTACATAATTTTCTTAAGAAGTAGGGGGGTCTTCAAATTCTCAAGCATACTAATAAAGACCCACTTGGGCAAATGTGTGTTATGTTTTTTAACAGTTACCACTTAAGGAGGACCCTATTTTAGGAAATATAAAAATGCCAGGGTTTGCCTTAGGATTAAACACTTATTTGAGAAGAAAGAAAACATATGGGGGGGGCCTCCCTGGTGGCTCAGCGGTTGAGCACTGGGTTGCACGGGTTCAATCCCTGGCTGCTCCCCGGCCACCGGAGGAGGGACCCACATGGCGCGCAGACCTCTCCTGCTGCCCGCTGCTCCCCTCAGCAGTGTACTTCAGTCCTTCTGCCTGCTCTGCTCCCTGCTCTGGTGAATTCTCTCACCCTCCCGCGCTTCTGACTGTACCCAGTGCTTGTATAAATAAATAAAAATAAGTCTTTAAAAAAAAAAAAAGAAGAAAAAACATGGGGTCTTGAAAAATGAGCTTACTATAATCAGCTGACAATCTATGCAAGTCAATTCAAGCACTGTGTTGAACACCTGTTATGCACCCAATGCAGAGTTTGGTGCAGATTATGCAAATGGTGAATGATTATAAGACATACTTTCCTATTTTTTCCTCTGTTGAAAACTGAACACCTTAGATAGTGTAAGGTGGGAACTCTGAATATCAGATTCCCTCCCCTTGCAAGATATGCTATTGTTACTGTTTGTTGTTATTGTCATTTGATTGCTTAGTGACTCCTGGACTTTCTGGCCTCCTGCTGTACAGGCTGTATTTTTTGGTCAGGTGGAGTCACTGAAGTTTCTGCTCAGTTAGCTTAGTGGTCAGTTATAATTGAACTTAAATGCCTGAACCAAAAAAAAAGAGAGAGAGAGGACAGAGAGGTCAGACAGGAGAAGGGTGGGGGGGGGAGAGAGAGAGTCTTTTTAAACATTCTCTCAATATATTCAGTTAATTCTCCTAAACCCACTTTTTTCCTGCTTCCAATTAAAACCTACAAGCCTATCCAGCCTCAAGTTCATGCTAAATATAAAGCTACAGGCTTCTATTTTACCTATTTTTTTATTTCCATTCTAGCTTCTACACTCTGATATCAATAAGAAATCTATAACAATTCTGCCTATGAGTATAAGACTGATATTTTCCCTTTCTAATGGAGACCATGTCAAGATCCAAAAAGATGTAGGTCCAAAACATACCTGGTTTAGGCTGGATATTAAGATAAGGGTAATAATTGCACAGTTTTTCCTGAATGTTTGTTAAAAATACCAAATTCCACAGGACAAAAATAAGGCAATCCCTTAGATCTAATTCTCCAAATAGGTCCTGAGCCTACAGAAGATCCGTTAGCAATCTGCCCAAGGTCATTCAGCTAATAAGTGGCCTTGTATTTTCCATTCCCACCTGTGCTGCACAAATGTCAAAAAAGAACACAGAGCAAGTTTATAAGGAAAGACAGTGACCAATAGTTTTGTGCAGTGAGATCACAGTAAGTAATTCTATAATTTTGAATAGTCCCTTATTCAAAATTATAGATACTATATCTAGTTACACAAAAGCTTACTGTTCAATATTCATATTAATCCTCAGACTTACTTTCAGAGTAGATATAAGGAAAGCCATGTTACAGACAAATGCTTAAACCCAATTACAATACAAAGGTTTACTGACCCCCAAAAACCTTTAAAAACAAAGATAGACAATGAGGTAAATCTACCCTCGCTAATAAAATTGCTAAATTTGAAAAAAAAAAATGTCATGAATAAAAGCTCACTAGTCATTCAATGAAAATAAAACAATTTTCCTTGGAAAGCATGTAATCAAACATCATTCTATCAGTGTGGAGACTAGAATGAAACAGCAGAAAAAGCAATGACATTGAGATACTCAATCTGCATTGCCTGAACCCTGTTTGGGTCAACAGACTGGGACAACATACCAGCTCCCAAGATGATTTTAACACTACTGTATTTATATCAGTAAAATCCCAACACAATGTCACGAAATTTATTTCCCTACCCTTATCATATCCCTATACTCCCTTTGTTTTCCATGCACCTTCTCTTAACTGCTGAACTCCCTAAAAAGTCACTTTGTGCTCCCCTGTCTTTCCTTCAAAATAAATGTGGGAATATGCGTTACAGTGATCCCTCCCACCCTTGCTGCCACTCTACTGGGATATATGGAGAAAAGACAAAGGTTTTGCCTGAGGGCCACAATGCTTGGACTATTTCTGAAATTCTGCATCAGCAACCAACAAGCAAGTTATAGAATCTGTTGCAACAAGGCAAGACTTGTCAAAGGAGAGGGTGTGCCTAAATCTTATACATACCTCAGCAAAAATGAAAACTAGACTCAAGAATCAGTCATGTCTGCTCTGATCTCATAGTTCACCACACTCAACATAGTTTGCTATAATATGACTTGTTTTCAAAAGAATATTTCATAAAATGTTCTACTGCAAAGGAAACTCAAAGTTTAAACCCCCATTAACATATAAAGCAGTGAAATAATTACAACTAGACATTCATTCCTCTTGCAAATAGTAACTTTGCAGAGCATAGATATAATTTATAACATGGCCATTCTCAAAGACTCAAAACTGTTCATTTCAAAACTGGGGGGGGGGGCGTAATATACCATTCATAAAAGAGTTATCAAAAATACCTAAAAATTTTTGTCATGAGAATTTGTTATATTAAATAAAAATTTATCAAGATATATACATAAAGTCACACATGATTATATTCCAAATGAATCCTAAATAGTATTCCAAGGATATTGAGAGAAAACACTCCAAATTAATAGTTTAAAAATTCCCCTAAATTTATCTTGAGATGCCATATCTCACGGAACATTAAAAAAGAGATTATATATAAAAGCAAAAATAAACGAATGGGACTACATTAAGCTAAAAAGCTTCTATACAATGAAAGAAACTTATCAGTAAAACAAAAAGACACCCTATTAAATGGGAAATACTTGCATATCATACATGTGACAAAGGGTTGATATCCAAGATCTACAAAGAACTCATGCAACTCAACAAAAAGAAAATACGCCAATTAAAAACCAGGGTAGGGCCTCCCTGATGGCACAAGAGGTTAAGCACCGCACTACGAATCAATTGCAGCCTCTGCAGCATGAGTTCAATCCCCGGCTGGCCAGGGAACATCCCACATGGCGCAGCAGACCTCTCCTGTCTCACCTGCTGCTCTCCTCAGCAGTGTATTTCAGTCAGTCTATCTGTTCTGTTCCCCTCTCTTTCTCTGGCGAATCCTCTCACCCCCTGCATCTCTGTCCTGTACCCCAGCTCTTGTATGCATAAATAAATAAGTCTTTAAAAAAATTAAAAAAAAATTAAAAACTGGGCAGAACAGCTAAACAGACACCTCTCTAAAGAAGATAGAGAGATGGCTAATAGGTGCATGAAAAAATGTTCCACATCACTTGTCATGAGGGAAATGCAAATCGAAGTCACAATGAGATACCACCTCACT